AGAGGGGACCCCACCCCCACCCCGCAAGCACTGGGTAAGGTCTGAAGACAGCACAGCAGCCATACCCCCTCTACCATCATTACCACCATCATCAGTTCCTGCATCTCCCCAGTGGTTTGGGCCCTGGGAACAGACAGCAATGTGGAGGAATTAGAATCTCAGGAAAAGATATTGGGGGGCTGTTTTCTCTGTGTGAAAACAAGGTCTTCAAACATAGAGGACCAGGACCCCTCCCCCCACCCCGCCGCCCAATGTGAGCACATATAAACGCTCAGAGCCTAGCCTAGAAAGGAAGACCAAGGCATTTGCCCCACCATAGCCTTGAAGCTGCCTGTCAAGCAGAGGGGCAGGGGTTTCAACACCAGCACAGGGCTCCCCAGGGATACCCTGAATGAGTTGGAGCATGAAATTGAAACTGCATCCCCACTAGGTCCTGCTGCTTCTTATCTCCCAACTCCTTGTCTTTTTCTCTTCCCTCCTAACCCCTTGGTGCTTTTCCCAGGGGGATCCCCACACTGATCTTGCCTCTTCTTTTCCACTGCTTGGCTCTTAAGACTCAGGCAGATAAAATAGTATTCCCCCAGCATGGGGAAGCTTGGAGTCTACTGGGTCACTTTAGGGCAAGACCCAGAAGGCAGGCCCTGGGAGCACCCAGCAGTTCTTGGAGATGTCCTGTGCATTCAGCCATTTGAGTAACTTCCTCATTTAGGGCTACAAATGTATACAGCCCAGTTCTGTCTACAAGTACATGACTTTATATAGCTCAATCTATAACCTCCGTGTGTGCCAATATAAGCTGTCTTTGTAACACAAGTTTTTGTTTTAGGGGCCACTGGCCATAGGAGGCCTTTTGTTCCTCAGACCCTGGGAAAATACATCCTAGCATTGCTTGTCAGAGTTGCAGTGAATTCAGTGGAGCTGTGCTTTGAGATAGCAAACATTTCTGTGCTTTCCTTAGAAATTCAGTCTCTTTGGGTCCAAGCTTTATGCTCTGTACACTGGGAAAATAATAATGATTCAGTAGCTTTATTGGAGTCACTTCTTCCCTGGAGTGTGGGAAGTATTAGCTCTTTGCTTTTGTGAGGGGTCATCTCTTTGTTCTCCTCCCCTCCTATCTTTCTTTGACCCTCTGGATTGAGAGAGAAAGATTGACAGACACTTGCCAAGGCTAGAGAGTTTGTGACCAGAGTGCCAAAAGTGACAAATTAAGAGCAGGAATATGACTGTGACTTAATTTGGAGAATGAGGAGAATAGGAGGACAGTAAGCACAATGCCCAGTTGAGGGTGGTTTCTAAAAATTCTTCAGCCCTATACATAGATGGGCCTAGGTCATTTGTCCAAGAGGAGAGCCCCTCTGACCTACAGACCTTTTCTCTAGACTCTCAAGTCCTTGTTTTTTGTTCACGTTGGGTTCTTAGCCTTCCCCAAAAGCCCCTTACTTTAGACCTGTTGACAAGGTCCCAAGCAGCCTCCCTCACAGCCATCATCCCTCTGCCTCCTGCTGCCCAGGGGGTAGTGCCCTGAATAGTGACTTCCCTTTTATCTATGGAAGTAGCTGGAAGACAGCTTCATTCCACCTAACCTGAGTCACCCCTACCAAGAGAGTGACTAAATTTCAGCCTAATTATGCCTTCCCAGGCTCCTGTGGGGTGGAGCCAAGAGCCCATCTCTGTTGTTTTAAAATATTGTGTGTTTGTATCTGTGGCGCTGGCCTGCAGCGTGCTCTGTACATATTGTAAAGAAACCGTTGGAATAATTTTCTTTCTCATTGGGCAGGCATGGCCCCACACTCCTGCCTTTCCACTTAGTTCTGTGACACAGAAAGGAGGAACTTCTGTATTTGTAGAGCAGCCTTGGATTTTGCAGAAGGGAACAGCTGCTTCCCCCCACCCTTTAAAAAACATTTAGCTCTTTGATCCTTATATCAAAAGTCTCCCTCAAAGAGTAGGACCTGCACAGAAGAGCAGGTGAAAACAACAGTGGCAGAATGGCACTGCCTGCCTTCTCTTCACCCTGATCTTTCCTGGGTACAATCTTCCCTGAAATAACATGATGCAGAAGTAGAAGCAGCAGCTGTGGTGAATCCTTGACAAGTGCTGAGTGAAAGATTTGCTGTCCACCTCTCCTACATGGGGAAGAGCAAAACAGGTAAGGGCTACCTGTGGCACCCATGACCTAGTCAGAGGGATGAGACACTCAACAATGATCTCTACCCCACCAGCAGAGGCTAGAAAAGGTTACTGGTGAAGGGTCCAGACCCCAAAACCAAGCCTCTCTCTGAGCCATCCCTGCCCAGGTCCCTACAAACATAGCTCCCTGGGCACTCCCATGGAAGAGAAGCTACAGGGGAAAGAGGACCTCATCCCCAGGAAGGGCAGCTTGGAGAGCTGCTCTTTAGGATTCATGTCCGCTTCCTCATTTAAGGTATGCTGGTTCCCTTCATCCTCAGTCCCTGCCTTATTCATGTGTGTGTGCGTGCATGGAGTTTCCTTCTTTCCCCACTTTCTCCACACATCTCAAGGACAAAGAACCACACACAGATGGGTAAGAAGGCACCCAATGAGATGAAGTGGTCATTTCTTGACTTTCTTCTCCAGACTTCAGGGTGTAGGGGTAGGAGAACTTAGTTTAAGGAGTTGGGGATTAAGACTACAGACGGGCTAGAGAACTGTATAGAAGCTTTGAGGCCCCTTCATGTCACGAACTTCCCCATTTGTCCCATTTTCATCCCAGTGTCTACTCTGATGCCCCCAAGATCCAACTGGGCAGCTAGTTGGCTCCAGAATTCTGGGCCTTTGTCATTTGTTTTATTACTAGGGCATCCCAGGAAGCTTTCCAGTGATACCCTGCCATGGGCTCCTTCTGAGATTGAGCTCCTCCCAGGCCCTGTCCCCCAGCCCCTCCTGCCCCAGCCCACCCGCTTGCCTTGGTGCTCAGCCCTCCCACTGGGAGCAGGTTGGGGCAAGCTGGAGGCCAGGGCTGGAGGGGCAGTGTTGCTGTTCATAGCTTTTATTCCATTGGCGTTGCTCTGTTGGATTTAATTTCAGTCTTCCTGATTGTTCCCTTCTGTAAAAGTGTAAATTACCAAGTTCCTTGTTTTTTTTATATATATATATATAAATATATATATATACAAACTGTACTCTTTTTGCCTTTGTACATTCAGGCAAGAAGAGAAAATAAATCTTTTTAAGAGACAATCACAAATCTGTGAGGGCTGCTGGTTATTTCTCCTGGAGTTTGCTGCTAAGCTGCCTCTTCCTTCCTCCGAACTTTTCTGTTTTCCCTCAGCTTTCCCAGTCTTCTGGTCCTGCTCCATGTGCATCCTCAGCTTCCCTGGCTAATGGCAAGCTGTTGAATCTAGTGTCCCAACTACCTGCCCTGTAGCCCTTTCCTGCCCAGCATTGTTTTCTGACTTGGTCACTGGCTTAGCCCAGAAGCTCTGTCCTAGCCTCTCCTCTTTTCACCCTTAGATCCCACTCACCAAAGTGGCTTTGGACCCCTTGGTATTCTGGGACCAATCTCCCAGAGGCCCTAGTTTGGATGCTCACCCAAGAAACTATGCAGCTGGGAGCTCTCTACCTAAGAGTTTGCACTACTTGAATCCGCCTGGGGGATTAGGAATGACTGGAAAAGGACTCCTATTGCTCTACCCATCCCACCCTCACACATTCCAGTCTCCAAAGTGCTCTGCTCCAGAGCCCAGAGAATCATTCTTTGCTGGTGGACTCCTATGTTACCCCATCAGAAAAAGGGCTAAGGGGTTATGGATCAAGAGCATTTGATCAGAATTTAAAAGGGTGGTATCTTCTGAAACACAGCCCAACCAAACCATTGTTCCCCATTTCTCCTTTCCTCTACCTTCCTACTTCCCTGCTTTTTTTCCCTTTGCCTCTACTTCCTTTTCTTAATTGGCTTTGGAATTGAAATATATTTTTAAATTATTTGTTGTATTTATTGAATAAAGTTTTTAATGTCCCTGTTCTTAAATTTAGACTTAGTTTGCCTTTCACATCTCTATCCCTCTCTCCACCCTCCCCCCTAAAAACTTCTACCAAGTTGCTTTTTTAACTGGAGTTCAGACTTTGAATACCAAAATTTCTTTCCTGCAAAGCTATTTTTTGGGAAATCTTGACAGGGTACCTGGATTTCCAATTCAGTCCTTCCTTTTATCTCTGCAGTAGGAACCACCAACAGATGGCAGGAGAATCTCAAGCATCTTTCCTGTCCATTCTGCTAGCTTTGGAGGAAAAAGTAAAGGACTTATCCTTTCTACTAGCAGATTCCTTGGATTTAACATCTGAATCCTAAACTGCCTACGTCCCCTTTAGGCTGCCCCTAGAAATCATCTGCTTAATGGGGGACAGCTTTTAGCCACTCTGATTTCAATTTAATGTGTCTAGTCCCAGACTTTTTCTAATACTACTATGTGTGGGGAATGGGGGTATTAACTCAGGTCTTTTAAGGAATACCTACTTGGTTATTAGGTTAATGGTTTGGCCCAGAATAAAACACAAGTAAGCTCTGTGAAATACAGTGTGAAAATTGGCCAGAGACCCACATATAAACTTAAGAATCAAGAGTAGTTACAAAGCTATAGGAGGTATAGGAAGTAGGAAAAAAAAAAGAGAGAGAGAGAAACAAGAATAGGGAACGTTATGTGGCAGTTCCATGCAAAAGCCAAAAACCCAGTTTTAGAACTCAGACTTGTAATATAAAAGGAAAACCAATTTGGATCCTAGGGAGAGAGCCTCTATTAGACGAAGCTGATTTTGTACATGCCTGTCTCTCTAGGGGGCTCTCGCAATGTGTCTTAGACTCCTAGCAACCCCACAGTATAACACAGCCCCAGAGACCTTGGCCAGCTTATCTGCCCTACTGCATTGCAGCTTTCTCCTTGAGAAGCATGTTTGCACACCCCTATTAAGTTAGGCTCTGGGCTCAAAAGTCAGTAGTGGTAAGAAGTTGGTCCTGGTACAGGAATAAAGAACAGACCAACCATAACTTTAAATCAGTTTATTGACAGTAACACAACACACTTTCCTCCCTGACACCCCCACTTCCCTTCACCCAGCCTAGATCTCCTGCCCCTTCCTTTCCCCTTAGAACAAGCTATTCAATGAAACAGAAAAGAAGGAGCCACTTTTAGCCCCTTTTCCTATTACCTCTAGGCCCTGCAGGACAAGGTATTAAAGCACTGCTCAGAACCTGTTAGGGGCAGTCAGCACTATGCTCAGCCAGCCAGAGGCATTAGGTCCCTAAGAACAGATTCCCCACGATTCCCAGGCCCTGAGTTGCTATTTCTTCTCTCTGCTCTTTGTGACCCTAGGAAGGAGACCTTGGAGCCTGAGCCACAGGAGTAAGAACTCCTGGCAATAGTTTGAGAGTTGGAATTTAGTTAGTGTTTCTTAAGGCCCAGGCACCCCAAAAAAAGCCCTGTCATGGGAGTGAACTTCAATGCCCTATTTAAAATGCACTGATAACATTAAACAGATTAAGCCAGCTTAACCAAATGCCAGAATAACACTAAGCTGTAAAGGAGGAGGGGTCAGACCTGCTTACACCAGGCCAGACACAAATGCACACAGAAAAGCCCAGGTGGAGTCAAAAACAACCCAAGGACACTGCCCAAAAGCCTATTCAGGAGCCCCTGGGGTGACAGGAAGCAAAGAAAGAAAATACATTAAGTCTTAAAAACCAAAACAGAAAGCCCAACAGTAGGGGAACCTGAGCCTGACAGTGCTGTCCACCAGCCCTTGCCCCTGGACCCAGATAGCCCTTCCCCCTCTAGGCAATGTCCTCCCCTAGGCTAGATAGAGCACATCACACAGCGCAGTTTAAAAAGCTTCTAATGCCAGTTCATAAACATCTTCAATTACTATTGGTGATTACATGTGAATAATATGTTTATACTGTTCTTTATGGAAAACAATTTCAACGAGTCAACTCCAAGAACACAATAGGCAACCCTCACCCTGAGCCCCTCAGCGTCCTTCCCTAGACAGCAAGGAACCCTCTCCTCTGTCCCAAGGCTGCCTAACTTCCCCTCTTCCCCCACTGTGGCTCTTGGGCAAAGCATCCTCTATGACCATTAGTCCTCATCGGACAAGTTCTGGTCCAGGGGGTAAACCATGAACATCACATCTGGCCGAGAGGGGACGCAGGGATGACCTGGACGCACAATCTCAAAGCCCAAGAAGCTGAAGGTCTTCAGGAGTGGAGCTGTAGAAGATAAGAGCATAAAAAGGATTCTGATGAGAAAAACAAGGACAGGCTTAAAATCAAAGGAAAACTCCAAAGAAATGGAACAAACAAGGTTGTTAGTAATCCTTGGGGAACTCCCTTCCACGCCTGATTTGCCAGGGGTGGGTGGTGGCAGACACCAGTAATCCCAGATACACTGGAGGCTGAGGCAGGAGGATTCTAAATTCAAGGCCAACTAGAAAGACCCTGTCTCAAAATTTTAAAAAAAAGCAACTCAGAGATAAAACTGTCCTGGGTTCAATCCCTGGTACTAGGTGGGGAAAGGAGGAGTCCCTACTTACTAAACAGGAACCCTGTATCCTCCTCCCCAGACCCTGCTGCGCAGCCTGGAGGAAGTCTTTGGCTGCTTTGACTCCTCACCTCTGTCTTCACGGCCCTTCCTGAAGCAGATGAAGACATAGTTTACTTTCATCTTCTCTTCAGCAAACTCTAGCAGTGCTAACAATCTGTAAGAAGCAAAGAAAACTAATCAGGCCCTCCTACTCCAAACCGTCAAAAAGAGGGTTTTTCTGAGCCAAACCGCCAGCAATATAATACAGAAGCTCCAGAGAAGGTTCTCATTTTGAGATCTTGAGAGCCTCGAGTTCAGAAAAAAATAAGCCACACAGTCTTAAGAAAAATGTTATTGAATTATCTCTTCCTGTGACTAGTTCATCATCTGAAAGTAACACTGACCATCTTAACTAATGCAGTTCATAAGTCAGAGCTTGAGACCTAGAAAAAGAACCCAGTTCTCCAGAGATTACTGCCAACTTTGATAAGGTCACCTGCCACTGACTGAGCAGGATACTGTGGGCCCTGCCATTGCCTATTTTCTCAAGAAACTAGAGCCAGAACTCTGTCCTCAGGACTACTGCTTACATGGGCTGCTTGGAGGGCCTTGCCCAGTCCAATGGAATCCCACGGTATCTGCACCACTGTAAGGTGGCTCAAGAGAGACTTGGTATCTGCTTGGAAGCATGAACCAGGGGGTGATTAACTAGTAGGCATTTGGTTAATGTGATAAAGATCTGCTTTAATTAGAACCTAGAGCAGGCCTGTTTTATTGGCTAAAAATAACCTGTTACAAAATGGAATCTACTTGGAAAATCTAGAGCTAAGGAAGAAAGCATGGACTTTGGTTAAAAATCAGTTATCCCAGTAAACATAGGTCTGGGGACCTTCTTTTCCTCATTTGTTCCTTTCCCTTAGCACTTGCTCCTTACCCTTCTTTGCTCCCATCAGCTAATAATCCATCTGGGATTTCTACAAACAGACTCTGGCTGGACAGGACTGCATCCCAGCAAGAGACCTTCACCTCGGTGACCTCATATTGGAAGTGGACAATGTGAGGTTTTCCATCATTCACAGGGAGGTCCTGGGTCACAGTGAGCTTCTCGTCCTGGGAAGGAAAGCAGGACAAAGGACCATATCACTGCTGCCTCTGGCATGTCATATGCTTTCTAACTAGGTGGCACTAGGAATCCCTTAGGCCAAAAGAGGGCATAGGACAAAAGGGTATGCTGGAAATATAGACCCACATCTGGCTAAGTGAAGCCATTGTTAAAACCAGTTGATGTTAAGAAGGGAAATGTATATTGAAGCATATACCAGGTACCAAGTATGGTGCACAATATGGTCCCATATATTAGTTTGACAAACACTTAAGGTGAGCATTAGTATTTCCATCTTAAATCTGACATTTAAGAACAATTAAGAATATCAACCAAAGCTCTCAAGGTAATAAATGACAAAGCTGAGATTCCAACCTAGGTCTGATTTGAAAGCCTATAGTCCCCCCCCCCCTCCCCTCCAAAACCATGTTCTTTCCCTTCCCTCTGAAAGGACATTTGTGACAGTTTGGCTGGGGACTTGACCAACCAAAACCTGCTTTCAGGTGGACTGTACAATTCATATTATCAGTGTCAAGAGACTAGAACTTAGCTGTCCTGCTATCCTTCCATCCCAGTCTTAGAAGCCAAACCAACTTCTGGGCCTCAGTCACAGCAGATCAAAAGGCAGCAAATGGTGCCTCCCTCTAAAACTCCTGAAAAGCCACACAGTAGCCTCAGCTGAAAAGTCCTTCCCAGTCCCACTACTGGCCTGGAAAACTATGAAAGTGACAGCTCCCTTTGAGCAGCAGCTCAGTGGTATCTGAGAACTCTGCCCACAGATTTCCATCCCAAGTTCTTCCTTACCTTATATATTAGAGCTGAGAGAGAAGGATCCCTGCCGCCCCCTCGCCCACCGGGGATCTTCGACAGTGGGTGAGGGGCATCAGGAGCACCACAGAGGCCCCGGAACAATGTGCCTGCAGCACTGGAGCTGGGGACAGTTACTCAAAGGCAAAATACTACTGCAAGAGAAAGAGAAGATAATACAGTAGATGCCAAAACTTGAAAATTTAACTCAAATCCCACCCCAACCTTTCCCCTAAACAAGTGTTATAAAGGCCACACCATTGCCCCAATTCTTCCAAAATTGCCATTGCTCTCTTGAAGGAGCCCATCATCATGAAGAGAGAGAAAAATTCCTGAAGGCCCAAGGGAGTTCAACTGCATATGTCTGACAAGGGGAACACCTATCAGATATCTTCATACAAACACTGTGGCACTGACCATATATCGTGGAAGGAACCACCAGATGCTAGCTTGCCTAGTAGGACTCCAGACCTGTGCCCTGCACCAGTACCCCTCCTAAGCCACCAATGCCTCAACAAGCTATGAGGCAGAATCACAAAGCCTACATTCAGGCTCAGGAGAGGCAGATGGACTTTGGGAAGCCATGTGCCACTAGGTACTGTGTCCTTGAGGAATTCCCAAGGCTACGTTCCAGTGATGGCCCCATCCTCCATCTGAACAAAGGAATTAGAATGAGGAATCACCTACTGCACATTCCTCTAGGGTTAAGATCAAAATTAAATATGGAGATTTGGCTCCCAGAACAATATTACTATGTCTGACTTTGTCCCTGATCTGCCACCAAATGCTGGGCCCACTTGCCTCTCTTTGCTAGTCACTTCATGACCCAAATGTGGGAATGTAGTAATACCAATGTAGTCAGAACAGATACTCAGTTGTAGGAAAGGGGCATGCTGGGAAAAGGTAATATATGCTGTGACCTGAATAAGGAAGCCAACAATCAGATGGACTACAGAAAGTCAAAAGCCCTTACAGGAGCTCTCCATCACATCCAGGTACCCTTACTAGGCACCATGACTTCCACGGAGATCCAATGGGACTCCAGATCTGTTCCACTACCTTCTTTGAATGGCTCCTTAAGCTGACCCCCAAGCCAAGGGCAAATGAAGCAAGACTTCATTCTGTTTGTCCACCAGGACTAAGCAACAGGTCTGTCCTTTAGCCATCATATACCAGCCTCAAGATAACTAGAAGGTGGTGGACAGAAGTGTTGTTGTGGTATGCTGGAACTAGCAAGCATTACAGTTGAGACTAGAAATCTAAACCCATCATTGCTCAGCTTCTATGGTCTCCAGATTTTAACTGGAGGCCTAAAAGGATAACTGAAAATTTCCTTGGGAAATGGAGTTCCCAGAGAAATATCTGTAAGCCTGAAGTAGCATTAATATCTAGGGATTATAAACCCATTCCCTACCTCTTGCCTATTCTGGAAAACCTTGGGGCATCCTCATCTCTACACTTAGCCTTTAAGTGAAAGGGCAGCTACACTTAACTTATACTGTTTTCAAATCTCTGTGCCTCTGAGGTTTGCCTGAAGGAGTTACTTTCTGCTGGGGACAATAAATTATTATATTTTCCCTTCCCAAGTTTTAAGGGGCAGAAGAATACTGTCCAGGCAAACAAAAAAAATAAAACAAGTGTGAGGGGTTTCCCTACACAATGGTGCACTCTACATACCATTCCCTTCTCATTCCCCAGTGCCCCTTTTGGCATATAATGAGGTTCCTTTAGAAACACTAGGAAGACTGGGCCACTGGAGAAAGCTGGCCTTCTTGCATTGATCAGCAGAGTTACCCAAGAACTGGGCAAATCCCCTCTGGAATGGATACCAGAAGAATTGCTTGGATTCACAATACAACTAGATCCAAAGCCTTGAAATTCTAAAATTTTGGGGCCAGACTCCCACTTCTCAGAAGAAATGTTTCTCAAAACTGTTTTGGTGTTTTTTTTTTGTTTTTTTTTTTTTAAGTTGTAGATGGACACAATATCTTTTTTTTATTTATTTTTATGTGGTGCCTAGGATCGAACCCAGTGCCTCACACATGCAAGGCAAGCACTTTACCACTGCCCTGAGAACCATTTTTTAAAAAGTATTTATTTTTTAGTTGTATTAGTTTAAATACCTTTATTTATTTATTTTCATGTGGTGCTGAGAATCGAACCCAGGGCCTCACGCATGCTAGGTAAGCACTCTACCACTGAGCCACAACCCAGGCCCCAAAAACCATTTTTTACATGAGTGATTTACACTGAACCTCTGCCCTGCATTCCAACCAATATCTTCATTCTTGGCTAATTTGCACTTGTAAACAATAGAAACAAGCCAGGCACAGTGGCACAAGCCTGTAATCCCAGCAACTAGGAAAGCTGAAGCAGGAGGAATGCAAGTTCAAGGCCAGCCTCAGCAACTTGGTGAGGCCCTAAGCAACTGAGAAAGAAAGAAAAGAAAAGCAGAAGCAATAGGGGCAATCCCCTGAAAAGATCAGAATATTGTGGGGAATTTTTGTTTTACATACAGAATCCCTCCTTTTTTTTCTTGAAATAATCTCTGAAACCTGCCCTGCATCCCGCACTAACCTATAATAAACTAGTGATATTTCTGGTTTCCTGATCTTTCTAAATAAATGCAACATGTCCATCCTATGGTAGTAAATAATTTAATTCCCTACTCTCACACATAAGGATTCTGGAGAGGCTTTGCTCCTCCCCCACAAAGTGCAGAAAGAAGCATGTGTTTGAATGGGGGTGGAGTATGTCAGGACTCCACACTGGGATCCAGTTCCAGTTCCCTAAGAGAAACAGCTGGAGTTTAGGATAAGCTTGTTTGACAGTAGATGACAATAATTATCTTCAGCCATTATAAAGCATCTGTTATTAGATACTTGTAATTAATGACAAATTGCTTCTCTGAAAGAAAATCTGACATTTCCTAGATGAGAAGGAAAGGAGGATGGGTATATATGCAGTAGTTTAAGTAATTAACAGGCATGTACTGGGCATGGTGGTGCACACCTGTAATCCCAATGGCTCTGAAGGCTAAGGCAGGAGGATCACAAGTTTGAAGTCAGTCTTAGCAATTTTGTGAGGGCCTAGGCAACTTAGAGAGACCCTGTCTCAAAATACAAAAAAGGGATGGGCTGGGGATGTTGCTGAGTGGTTAAGGATCCCTGGGTTCAATCCCCAATATATGCCCTGGGGGGGGCGGGGGGAAGGAGTGGGAGGGACAAAGAGGGTATTATGTATCCAGCATCCAGGGCAAGTCAGGCGATGATGGAAGATTGGAGGCTTTTGTACCTTTTATCTTCTCAGGTGTTACAGGACATGCCCTTAGAAACAGTCCTCAACAACAACAACAAAAACGAAACAGTCCTCAAGATATAAATGAGTGCTACCATATCATATCCTGCTGCTTCTAATTTAAAGCATTTGTAAAACTCCTATCTGAAGTGTCCTTAACAGATCATAATTTCATACACTGACTACCAACAGGCAATATATGCAGCATGTATTCCTGGAAACATTGATGCTAAATCAAATTTGTATAAGTTAAATCCTGTTTTTAAATAGCTGGAGTACTTATTATTTAAAAGAATTAAATCACTTCCAATTGATTTTATCAGTTTTGAATATATATATATATATATTTTTTTGAGGGGGGGTGATGGTGCTAGGGATCGAACCCAGGGCCTTATGCATCAAGGCAAGCACTCTACCAACTGAGCTATCTCCCCAGCCCCCTTGAATTTTATATTTGGTTTGCTCAAAGAAGGGTACCTGCTGCTACACAGAATTGAGATTTAGTATAAAAGTAATTCTGTAACCACAGAATCTAACAAACACTTGAATTCAAATACTCTGATAAATTTTGATCAGGTTTCTCTTCAATCAGTGGCCTCCTCAACCTATTCAAAGTCTGCACCCTTTTTCTCATTTTAATACCTACTAGAGATCAGATGGCTTTGGTATTACCTACCTTTGATATTAAGTAAGAGACATAAAAATCACATTTCCAGTATTATACATTCATTTCCCTCTTAACTACTTCTGACCCATTCATGTCTCAGGCCCTGCTTCACAAAATACTCAGAATGCCCTTATTTCCCTCACAGAGGCTGCTTTTACTCTAAGACTAGGAATATCTCTGATGACTAATCCTTATGTAAAGAGAGACCAATTCAGGGCTACCATCACACTTAACAAAAAAGAAACAGGAAGAAAGATGGGAGGTGATGGCCACCTTCAGACTAGTGTGACCATACAGGCTGATTCTCAGCTGCCAGTTCCCCCTTCTGAGACAGGGGCCTTGGGCAAATGCCAGACTAAAGTCATTTCACTAGGGCTGTTATGCATTCCAAAGGGAGCCTACTTGCTATGCATAATTATAAGAAAATCACATCACCAATCTGAATCACAGGCTAAAAGCAAAATTGGTTTTGGTTTATTCTCCACAAGAAACACATGTATGGTAGCAGCCAGAATCTCTCTGCCCCTAAGGTTTGCCTATCATACAGCTGATGGTGTGATACATCTTCTACCAAAAGTAAATACAATCACATGTGCTATCAAAGGTAGCTGCATGGCTAGGTAATCCTATTTTTTAAAAAAAAGATCTCAATTTTTTCACTGCAATCTAGTATTATACTGTATTGTAAGCTCATCACAGTCTCCAGCCGCTTTTCCCAGGATAAAATTATTTCATTTTTCATATTGTATCAAAGACCTAGGAGATTTTCTGAAGGCTTATACAAAGCATTTTCTGCTGCTGCTAACAGGAAAACTACCTGACTGTTCACTTAAAGTAACAAGATTCTTGCTAATCTAATGACATTTCTAATCTATAGTTTTCCATCAGCCTTCCAAACCATGGCATCAATTTGAATCAACACTGTATTGTTTCAAAAAGGGATGAAATACTTTTTCTTAAAAATGAACATTTGTAATATCCTTCTATCCCCTCCTCAGTACCCCCCACCTTTTTTTCCCCCTAAGCTGCTCTGGTGCTAAATTTGGATTTCTTGGCAGAATGAGAAATTGCTATTATTAGTCCATACTGTTTTCTGAAGCATCCAATCTGGAGGAATTCCTGATTATACAGGAGTTTCTTTCTCTCTGTAGGGTATTCTTGAAGGCACATCTTAGGAAAACTGGTTCTTCCACCCTACACTCAAAAAGCCATAATGCCAATAAACAAGGAAAATCAAATTCTTTGGAAAATCCCATTACCCACAAAACTATGAAGCTACTCAGGGTAATTCTGATATGCTTTTTGTACCCTGCTCACCTCCACCTTCAAAAAACCACCCTGTAGAACCAAATGCTTCTCCCCCAAAGTCCATGAGTAGACAGAATGATAATAACATAGCTATAAAGCCAGGGATAGCTTTTCTCCAAATACTGTACTGTCAAAAGATATGAAACAAGCCCTAGACAGATACTGTCTCCCTGCCCCTCCAAGTCCAGACAGAGAAAGGCCAGGAAGCTTGATTTCCTCTTGGATTTAAACCTGATATTCAAAAAATATAATGAAGGGGCTTGTATTTCTGTCTTCTTCCCTCCCCCACCATCAAGAATTTTGACATTTTGGAAGCACCAATCAGAACAACACTGGAAAGGAAGAGCCTTGTTTTCAAAACATATTGCAAGCTTTTCAACTATTTCTTCCAGGAAACTAAGCCTCCACCTCCTGCATTTTTCACTGGAGCCAGGGAAGCTGGAAATCCCATCCCCCACCCAATGGGAGCTGAACTTCCAGCCAACTCCCCCTCTCTGCGGATACAAAACACCAACAACACTGACTGGGAAGAGCATCCGGCTCTTATCGGAATCCCTAGTTAGGACTCTTTACAGGATTTCTTTTAGAAAGTTAGAGGCAGGCCAGAGGAGGCTGGGAAACAGGATTGCAGTAACTCAAAGAAACCAGACACCCTGCACACCCCACCTCACCCCACCCCCAGGCCAAAGTGGAGGAGCTTCATCCAAGGCCCAGCTCCAGCCCAGGCCCTGGCAGGGCAGCTGGCTCCTCCCTCCATTTGCCTCTCACATAGCCAAGCCCCTCAAATTACCCACACACTAAGCAAGGGCCCTGGAGACAAGCAAGCCTGTTTTGCCACTTAGGAAGCTGGAAAGAATCTTTAAGCTAAGCTAACTCAATCTCCCCCCCCCACCCCCACCCCCGTAAGCATGTAAGCACATGTAAGCACACTAGCTAAGGCAGAACTAGAACTCAGATCTCTCACACTCATTCAGTGAGGACCCTTATATGTTGGTCCCAAGTGCTCAACTCTGAGCTCAGCCTGGAAAGGACTTGGCATCTAGACCAGATGAGTACAGAGGACTCTATAGACTTACTGCTCAGCCACCCCACCTTCCAGAGACCCCACCTTCTAGAGAACATAGAAAATTCATCTCACATACATACCCCTTGAGCAGGTTTTGCTGTAGGTTCCTCTGCTTCCCTCCACCCCTACACTTCAACCTGTTTTCTCTCCTACCTGCCCTCCATCTTCTACACAAGGCCCTCCAAACCACAGTTAACACCTTTTGCACCATTCAAGTATCTATCCACCTCCACCTCCTCAGCTCCAGAAGGACTGGGTTACAGAAGATGGAAGGAAAGGGGAATGCAATGACGATTGGATGTGGATAGCCTCAGAAAAGGAAATCAAAAGCAGAACGGGATTATAGGTAAGAAGGGCTTAGGAGGCAGAGATAAAAGTCAAAAAGGAACAAACCAGGAATAGGGAGTGAATTTTCTCTCAGTGTATGCAGAAAAGAAATGAAGGTGGGAAGACTAGATAAGAGTTTAAGAATTGAGGAAAGAAAATGGCTAATGGCTGAGAACCCAGTAACTGAAAGAGAATTTAAGAAGCTGTTGCATGTATCTTGGGTTCTTCTGGATAGTGCCTGAGAAAGACTGAGAAATCCCTGAGGAAGACTAGGCCCTTTTCAGTAGAGATGAGATGACACTCACTAAAGGAAGGTAATGATAAAAGTTAAAGTCTTTTGAAAGAAGAGAAGCAGGGTTTTTCAACTTCATTGGAAAGAATTACCCAGGGAGCTATAAAAAATACATGCCAATAACAAGCCCTACCCTAGAACAGTTAGAGCAATCTGTGAAGATGGGGCCCAGGTGACTTTTTCAAATGTGCAGTAGGGATGAAAAATACTAAGATGCAAGAAAATTGAAAACCCAGTTGGAATATATAAGGATGGTGCTGATTAATAGGAAATGTTATGCTGGAGACTATTTAGTAAGAAGGGAACCATGAGTGGCAATTATAGCCCTATGTGAAGGAAAGCAGTAAGGCTATATTTATAAGAGAAAAGTAGAGCCTAGTTTAGTAAGGACCATGGCATGGTTTAAAGAGGATTTACAGGGAATGGATCTGCTTACAAAATAATGAGGCCTTACAGATGGGCAGAAGCCATAAGGGCAAATCTGAAGACAAAGGGTCTGGTGTGAGGTACTAATGAGCACAGCAACAAGTCTAGAGAAAAAATGAGGAAGGGAATTGGGTCTAAATTGCAAACAGAATTCACTCTGATGCAGAGGAACAACCAGGGCTAAAAACTTGAGAATGAGGAAATTATGGAACCATTTCAGAGAATAGTATCTGGGGCAGAATTTTGGGATATATTTGAGGGTGATAAGTGAGAAGAAACTGCCTAGAAAAAGAAAAGAGAAAGAAATTTTGATTAATGAAGTCTGCTTAACTTAGGCAGGGGAAGGATAAAAGAATTCAAGTTTAGATATCCAGTATCTATTTAGTATATTCAGTATTTAGATATCCAGTATCTCAGTTGCAGAAAGAGATGCACCTTTCTCTTCATTTAATGCAGAGAAACTGGAATTGGGTTTGGGGATGGAAACTTGCAAGGTGCAGTGTCCAGAGTACAGGGCCTGATATGAAGGCATTGGATGTCCAAGGAAAGGAGGTGTTCCTTGAAAGTCTTTACTGGAAGAAGTACAGGGCTAAGTTCTGTGATCTGATAAATCTTTAAGACGTGGTTCTGTGGGCAGGGATATGCTTTTGCCTAGCATTCATGAAGCCCTGTGTTCAATCCCCTACCCCCCCCCCAAAAAAAAAAAAGATGTGGCTCAATTAAGGTGAGAAAAGTTAAGAGTTGAGATCCAGCTGAGAGAACGTATTTAAAGGATAGGAGTATTTAGAGTGGTGGTGGGACACCCTTAAGGAGAAAAGGACAAGAACCCACTTCAAAGTATTTGAGGAAATAAAAGGAATGATACTGGAAGACAAGGGAAATGAGCCCTGAGAGAGGAGTGTGGAAGGAGGAAAGGAGAGAAAAGATGAAGCTGGAGTGAGGTGCCAAAAGGAGGGCTGGGCATCTTTGTAAAGACCATTAGACCTGGAGTTGAGGTGGGGGGTAAGGGGTCTAGTTGAGAACTGAAGGATGGAACCTGACTGGTGGGAGAGAAGCAGTGACAAGAGAGGGGTCTGGTTGGTTGGGGCGTGCAGTTTTCACTAGAAAGCAGATTCAAAGCGGGGTCAAAGACTTACATGGGGAGTAAAAATATATATATACGGGGAGGATATGGAGGAGGCGGGGATATTCGGGGTATCTATTGGAAGGATAAAGCCCAGTGGGGATAAAGGGACACCTTTAAGGAGGGCACAAGGGACCTGACTGAAAGATTGGGTCCGGGTTTGCGGGAGCTTTAGAGAAGGAGGAGGCCCGGATGAGGGGGATGGGCCGGGCTGGAGGGAGGGGGCTAAAAGACGGAAAGAGGCCCAGTTTCAGGTCTGGAACTCAGACGGGGTGGCTGAAGTGGGGAAAGGTCCGGTGGAGGCGGATGGAGCCCTGTCGAGGACCTACTGTGGGGGGTACGGAGACCAGCTGGTTGATGGGGGAGGAGGCCCTCTAGAGCCGAAGTAGAGAGGATGGGGGCGGGGAGCCTGGGCCGGGCCGTTACCTGTCCTGGGTGTTTATCATCCTCGGCGGCTCTGCTCAGGGTGGGAGGAGGCGGCGCAGGGAGTGGGTAGGTGGATGAGTGGGTGGGTGTGGGGTCGCGCGCGCGGGCCGATCTCGGCGGGCTAAGTCCCTGTCAGGCCGCGGGCCGAGAGCCCTTCTCCTGCCTCAGCGAGCGCCTGCCTCCAACTGACCCTCCCCGGCCGCCGCCGACGCCGCAACCGCCCCGCCCCCAAGTGGCTCATCTGCATAGCCCCACCCCGGAGCCGCGCGGTGTCCTGGGAAACTGGGGCCCACAACAAAGGGCAAAGCACCGCCCCACCTCCGCGCAGGCGCTCCTGGGGTGGATAGCGCTGGATAGGGATGCGGGTAAGGAGCTTCCGGATAAAGGCTGCTTTTAGGGAGAAGCCGTAGCCCAATTGGTGGCGTTGCCGTGCACGGTATCCTGAATGATGCATTGAATTTCACGTTGTTTTCTGAAGACTAACCAAACCTAGTCCTTGTTCCCATTCCTTTTTTGCTGGGCTCAAGAGGGGCAGTGCCGTTTGTAAGCCTCTAAAGGATATTTTATTAAAAACCAAATTGGAAATCTAAAGAGTACTACACTCATATTAGCACCATCCCCAGTCTGAGTCCAAGCCTATAGATCTCAGTTACCTCAGCTCATAATGCAGATCAATAACCTCAACAGCGAGCTGAGATCAACTGTCTCTTCATCTTGGAGACACATCTCAGATCAATGGTCCATGCTCCAATCACTGGCCAGTCACATGGTTATCAGAAGCCAAATCTCTGTAGGTCATGATCACAGCCACATCATAACAATTGTGGAAGCCACCATCACTGACTTGTTCACAGTCACTTCAAGTCACAATCAATGCAGGCTACTTCAGTCAATCATGCAAGGTTACTAATGCACAGCCATCTCCATTCACTATCCCTGCTGGTCCTTATCACAGACAAGTGCCAAAGAGTCACAGTCACTGTGGTATAGACACCTCAAATCAGAGTCATAGCAGGTCACAATTACAGGCACTTTAAGACAATCAGGTTTTTAACTCTGTTCATAGTCAACCCAAATTGCAATCAAGAGATAGTGTACTTTCAGCTCATAGTGGTTCACTGTCACCTCAAATCACATCCATTCATTTATTCAACAATAATTATTGAGCAACTACTTACTATGTGCCTCAAGCATGGGCTAGAGTCCAGGAATACTCAATGATCAGCTAGACAAGGTTCCTGCCTTGGATGTCACAATCTGCTCTGAGTGAGAGACACAGAGAGCCCATCACAATACAAGGTGAGTACTCAGTATGAAGGAGGCAACAGAGAAAGTAATAGGGAAGAAGGATGGCTTCCCAGAAAGTGTGGTACTCCATACCAGAGGTCACTATGACTTCTAGTTCACAATAGCCCCAAATCACAAATGTCACACATCATGGCCATCTCAGGACACAATGTTGAACCCCAACGCAAAGAAAAGACCACCAACTCCAATTTTAAATCAAATTAAAGCAAGCTTGTATTTGTGTACACAAAGAGAGCTGATCAGTGCCTGTCTCTCCTAATGCAGGCCAGCAACCTAGCTCTCCAATAAGGGGATGCTTGAGAAGTTACAAATAACAGGGTTTTAACAAACATAATACAAAGGCAGATAGTAAGTTAATGATCTACATGGCATGATATTTCAAGGTAGGGAGTAAATTCAGATCCTAACAGCAGAATTTATGAGGCACCACTGAGGTTTCAGAGAGGGTTGCTATCTGGTCAGGGAAAGCCAGGTATGGGTGATTTCAAGGCACGGGCAGGAATTCCAAACAAGTTTAGAAATCTCAGTAATTTATAGTAAAACAGAAATTAACTTTTCATGACTTTGTGACAAGATGGCTCCCAATCTTAAAATGGAATTAGGATGGGTTCATCAACATTTATTCACAAGCCTGCTTTTGGATTTTAGATGATAAGGATGTAGGGAAAAAAGAAAAGTTGGAGCAGGGCACAGTGATGCATTCCTATAAACCCAGTGGCTTAGGAGGCTGACGCAGGAGGATTGCAAGTTCCAAGCCAGCCTCAGTAAAAGTGAGGTGCTAAGCAACCCAGTGAGACCCTGTCGCTACATAAAATACAAAATAGGGCTGGGGATGTGGCTCAGTGACCCAGTGCTCCTGACTTCATGTGGCTCAGTGACCCAGTGCTCCTGACTTCAATTCCTAGTATCTGAGAGAGAGAGAGAGAGAGAGAGAGAGAGAGAGAGAGAGAGAGAGAAGAAGGAGGAGGAGGAGGAGGAGGAGGAGAAGAGAGAGAGAGAGAGAGAAAGGAAGGAAGGAAGGAAGGAAGAAAGGAAGGAAGGAAGGAAGGAAGGAAGGAAGGAAGGAAGGTTGGAAGGTTGGAGCTACCAGACTTAAGCTTTTTCACAAAAATTAAAGTGGCAAATGATACCAGGACGGTCCCATCTCTGGCTCACTTTAAGATCCTCTATCTTATCACTTCAGCTATCCTTAGCTAGTCTTTCAAGTTCATGCCAGGTATGCTTTTACGTGTATAACAGAATCAGACAAGTGAACCCAGCTCTAATCCACCTGGGAAAACCTCCTGGTTCTCAAAGGGAGCTGGGATGCCTAATTTTTGCCAGTCCATGGACAAGTAACCCTTTGGTCTGAAGGAGTTTCTGGTCAATCATTTGGCAAATACTAAGAATTCACTATGTCATGAATAGCAATCATTTATTGAGCATCATGCTATAGCACTACTTGTTACAATTCCTCACCATTATTGTATAATGAAGAGAATAAAACCTTAGGTAGGTGCTGGGGACGTGGCTCAAGTGGTGCTCGCCTAGCAGTGTGAGGCACTGGGTTCTATTCTCAGTACCACATAAAAACAAAATAAAAATATCGTGTTCACCTAAAACTAAAAAACAAATATTAAAAAAAAAACTTAGGAAGTTTTATTCTGTTAGCTAATATTTATTGTGGGCCTATCTATACCAAGTAAGTCAGTTTACTTGCCTATTTCAAAGCTATTAAATGGTAAAGTTAGAATTTGGACCCACCGTTGCCTAGTCCTGTGTTTTGCCTAGATTCATTTGGTGGAGGAATCAAAAGCTCTCTGCCACCAGCTTGCTGTTTGAATGAGTGACCACTCTTATGGAAACCAAGTCAGCCAGTAAAAAATTCACAAAGATGGGAGCCATCTTCCTCTAACATATATTGTCCTATGATATCCCCTTGCTATTTAAATTAACTAAAATGAAATAGAGGTTGGGGGGCATAGCTTACTTGGTGACAGAGTACTTGCCTAGCATGCATGAAGCCCTGGGTTCCATCCCTAGCACAAACACACAAAAGCTATGTGATGCAACATGAATAAGACAAATATAATCAGGCTGGGGATCTAGCTCAGTTGTAGACTACTAGCCTAGTGTGGGAAAAGCCCTGAGTTTGACCCCCAGCACCAAAGAAAAAAAAATGAATAAGACAAATCTGAATTTGACCATTTGCTAGCTCTATGACTTTGGACTAGTCAAGGCTACTGAGGGCCTATCTTGTCCTCTGTGAAAAACAGGACCATAGCATTGCCTTCCAAGATTGCGGTATTACAAAAAATAGTGTCTGTGAAAGCACCTAATCCAATGTCTAGAAGATGTTCTATAAACATAAATTTAGGGGGTAGGCAGGGGATGTGGCTCAAGCGGTAGCGCACTCGCCTGGCATGCGTGCGGCCGGGGTTCGATCCTCAGCACCACATACAAACAAAGATGTTGTGTCCGCCAAAAACTAAAAAATAAATATTAAAAATCTCTCTAAAAAAACAAACTAAATTTAGTCCCACTTCTATCTGTATAAAAATCTACTCTCCAGAAAAGATCTGATGAAAGCTAGTTTATAATGATAGAATTCATAAATGATTACTGATGCAAGATACAGAGGAGAGAGGGAAGGAGGTGAAATAAAAAAGGAACATCATTAGCCACCTTTCAAGCATTTAACATGCCTTTCTTATATGAACTATACTCCAAGGTAACAAAATAGATGGATGTGAGGTGATTCTGAAAACTATAAAGAGTGAGTAACAAGTATTCAACCTGATTTTCTCTAGGAGTGAGTCTCTAGGCAATGAGTGAAGAAGGAAGGTTAGAAAGTCTTTTTTTTTTTAATCTTTTTACTTATTCATCTTTATTGTTGTTGTAAATGGACTGAATACTTTTATTTATTTTTTTAATTTTTATGAGGTGCTGCTGTGGATTGAACCCAGTACCTCATTGTGCTGTGCAAGTACTCTGCCACTAAGCTACAGCCCCAGCCCCCAATAAAGCTTTTCTCTCTCTCTCTTTTTTTTTTTTTTTTCTTTTGGTTCTGGGGGTTTAACTCAGGGCCTTATGCATGCAAGGCAAGCACTCTACCATCTAAGCTATATCCCCAGCCCTAAATCTTTTGTAATGCTGGGAATCAAACCCAGGGCTGCCAGTGTGCTAGGAAAGCAGGAAAGAACGCTACCACTCAGCTATATCACCAGCCCCGATGATACCATTTTGCAAACTCTTAAGGTGATCATGAATCTACACAATGATTGTTGGTAGCTGTTAAAGTTACAGAGAGATATGTGAGGGTTATGCCTCATAACCACATCAACAACCTATGATGTATTCTTGCCAAAACTTTGAACCTAAATCAGAGCAAACTTTTATATATGACTACCATTTACAGAAAAATAAAAAGAGACAAAAGAACTGTTAAATGTCACCCCAGGAATGCAATCAGGGGCTGGGATTGTGGCTCAGCAGTAGAGCACTTGTCTAACACATGCGAGGCCCTGGGTTCGATCATATAAAGCACCACATAAAATATACAAATAAGAAAAATGTATTGTGTCCAAGTGTGTGTGTGTGTGTGTGTGTGTGTGTGTGTGTTGTGTGTGTGTATTGTGTGTGTGTATAATTTTTTTTTAAAAAAAGAATGCAATCAATGAGGGGCTGTGGCTGTGGCTCAGTGGTAGAGCATTTGCCTCGCACTTGTGAGGCACTGGGTTCTATCCTCGGCACCACAATCAATCAATCAATCAATCAATCAATAAATACATTGTGTTCATCTACAACTAAAAAAAATTTTAAAAAGAATGCAATCAGCAAAATCCCTAATGTGGGATCATTCTAAAGATAAAAAGTCTGTTTTTTCACTAAAGAAGTGGGAAAGGGGAGGGAAAACATGTAGCTTAATACAGACTTAAGATG